TCTATGTGGGGTTTAGGATGGAAAGCAAAGGACATGTGGACAAGGCAGCCTCTTTGCAGGGTTCCCATGCCAAAGAACCTGGGGGACTTGTACGTGAGTGGTAAGTAGGACAGAGTTCAAGCACATCTGGAGTTCAGACTCCAGAGTGGTTCTAATTCAAACACTCCCACAGACTTGGTTCTGCCAGGCGCTTCACGTTCAAGAGTCACAATTCTGGAGTAAGTTGTATGATTATCCTCGTTTCCTTTCTGTGGCTCTGGTAAAATACCTTAACAAAAAGCAGCTTGGGGAGAGAAAGGGTTTATTTTATCTCACAATTCTAGGTTATAGTTCATCACTGTGGAGAAGTCATAGCAGCTGCCACATGGTGATACACAGATTAATGGAGATGGGTTGAATTAATATAAGAGTTAGCCAACAAGAAGCTAGAGCTATGGATGGAGACAGAGACAGAGACCCACACTGGAGCACTGGACTGAGCTCCCAAGGTCCCAAGGAGGAGCAGAAGGAGGGAGAACATGAGCAAAGAAGTCGAGACCACGAGGGGAGCACCCACCCACTGAGACAGTGGAGCTGATCTATTGGGAGCTCACCAAGGCCAGCTGGACTGTGACTGAAAAAGCATGGGATAAAACTGGACTCTCTGAGCATGGCCAACAATGAGGGCTGATGAGAACCCAAGGACAATGGCACGGGGTTTTGAACCTATGTAATGTGCTGGCTTTGTGGGAGCCTAGCCAGTTTGGATGTTCACCTTCCTAGAAATGCACGGAGGGGGGAGGACCTAGGACTTACCACAGGGCAGGGAAATCTGACTGCTCTTTGGGCTGGAGAGGGAGGGGGAGAGGAGTGGGGGGAGGGGGACAAGGGTGGGAGGAGGGGGAGGGAAATGGGAGGCTGGGAGGAGGAGGAAATTTGTTTTTTTTTCTCTTTTCTCAATAAAAAAAAAGTTAAAAAAAAAAGAAGCTAGAGCTAATGGACAGTGATTTAATTAATATAGTTTCTGTGTGATTACTTCGGGTCTAAGCTAGCTGGGCGGCTGGGACAAACAAGCGACCCTTCCCCTAACAGTTCTCTCTCTCTACCTACCACTTTTCATACCATCTAAGGACTCAGCTCCCATCCCTGCCTACCGTCCTGCTGCCATGCTCCCCACCATGATGGGCTATGGAATTGTAACCCCCAATAAACTCTTTCTTCTACAAGTTGCCTTGGTCTTGGTGTCTTTTCACAACAACAAAAAAAGTGACTGATACTGATACAATGTGTACCTGCTGGTATCCTGGCCCCCTTCCAGCTGCTTGGCTTGGGTGAAAGCTGACAAATTCAAGTATCTTGCTTTTTAACCTGATAGGTTTTTGGAATGTGAAGCCAACCATGGAAATGAATAACTGTAAAGGTATTTTCATCCCCTCTCCCACAGGACTGGGCCACTTTGGGCCTCACTGGAGCTGCTTCTGAGTGAGACTTGAAGGCCAATGTATTGGACTTTGAGAGTGACATGATCAGCTGAATCTTCTGTACATCCTTAATGACAGAGGAACACCCACTGGCATCTGCCTCCTTTGAGGGAGAAGGCAAGAACTGGGAAACTTTTACTGGTTGCCATGGCAATTCTTTGCAATGTCAGCAGAAATACTCCACAATACACACAAGTTAGCAGAAAGCCTCCCAAAGTCTTCAGCTCAGAATCTGCCTCATCCCTAGACTTGGGCATCACTGAGACTTGACTCTGAAATTCAAGAAAAGAAACATGCACCCCATGCAATTCTTCTCTCTCCTCCTCTTACCAGGGCTCAGAGGTGAAATGAAGTCCAACCACCTCTCCAGGTAAAGATGCATGGGAGTAGATGGGATTGAAAAGTTCTTGCACCATTGATCCTCTTTGAATAGACTCCAGAGCCCCTTAGATTCTAACTCTAAAGCAACATTTACCCCTCCGAATTCTGATCATGATTGTTCCCAACCTCATTGTTTTCTAAGCCTAGAAATGTGTCTCTTTTTAATCTTGTGTGGCTGTGTGGGGCCACACACTTCCACGTGTGTATTGTGGGGTACATGTGGAGGTCAGAGGATAACTTGGTCCATCTTTGCCTCCCACCCTGTTTGACCATGGTCCCTTGGTTGTTTCCTGGTGCTCATAGCAGGCTAGCTTCTGGGAATCCTGTCTTTACCCCTCACCTTCCCTTAGGAGCACTGGGGTTACAGGTGTGCTGCCAAACCTGACTTTTTATATGAGTTCTGAGGATGCAAATTTGGTTACTTATGCTGACACAGCAAATGCTCTATCCACTGAGTAATCTCCCCATCCCATAATTTATCTTTGATCATTTGGATCTTAAGCATCATTTCAAGTGGTTAGAAAGAAATATTGAAAACTAAAACTCACCAGTCACCTTAAAAATATTTCCATGCATAGACAATAGAACAGTTCTACCCTTGCTGACAAGGAGAGCCAAGCTACAGCTCAGTAAACCCAGGATCTAACCACAACTCTGTCAACTACAATCTGTGCATACGAAATGTGAAATACTTGCAAGCTATAATCTTTACAGGAGAGAGCTTATTTCTAGGATAGCTTGGGTATTATAAGAACTTGCTCACTTCTTTTTTAGACCTGCTAAGAATAGTGTATCTGGGTTCTTTTCAAATGTAAATATCATTTTCAAATGCTCCTACTACCACCACATTGTGGGGTGTGATTTCTTGTGGAGTAATGAAGGAATGTGTACACCTGTCACTATGTGGACATCTGCTTGTATGCAGATACCTGTGCTAAACTGTTCCTTTGCTATTGTGTGAGGCAATCTCTCCTCGCTGAATCCATCAGGGTCTTGGTTCAAAGCAACAGAAATGACCGGGTAGCAGAGATGGAGAGTTACGAAGGAAAAATGGTAGGGTGAGGTGCAGGGGTAGCCATATGGATGAAGCTTGAGAAATAGGCAGAAATTTAGGGAGCACTGAGGCTGCTCTCTATGACTCATGGCAATACGGTCCAGTCTCTTTAGATGTGGTCACCATCACCCTGAGCAGTGTCCTGTCCAGTCTGTGGCCTTTTTTGTCACTTTTTCTGGGGAGACAAGGTCTCCGGGATGAGCATCCGATAGGTTGAACTAGCATTCTGCTCCCAGGATTTGGGGTGAACTGTAGGTGAAACAATCTGTGAAGGGTTCTGGCCTGAGGAATTGCCAGCTTTCACAGAGTGAAAGTGAACCCTCCCCTCAAGATGTGGGGGTAGAGGGGCTGGAGATATGGCTCAGTGGTTAAAAGCAGATTCTGCTCTTGCAGAGGACTTGAGTTCAGTTCTCAGCACCCAAGTGAGGTGACTTACACCAGCCTGTAACTCCAGCTCCAGGGAGGCCCCTGCCTCTACCCTCTCTCTGCAGGCATATATATTCATGTGTACAAACCCACACACAGATATACATATTTAAAAAATAAGAAAATAATTTTAAATGTGTGGAGGCAAAAGTAACAGGCATTTTTCTAGAAAGCAATCTTTTAGCTACTGCTCATTTTGCTGCTGACAAAGGTTCGGATGTATTAATGACTTAGCATCTTCTGCCTCCCCAGTCCTCGTACACCCTCCAAGACAAAACCCAGTGACTTAGCAGATCATATGCTGTTTCTCCAAATTTAAACAACATCTCAGGTGAGGGAGTGCCTCTTCTGAGGGTGTCTACCATTTCCAGGCCCTTTTCATTATTCGAGTTCAGTACATAAAAATAAATAATGCTAGGTGCCACTGACCTCCAATGCATGATGGGAGAACATGTTAATGTAAAACCCTTGTTGATATATACTGGCTACCATACATTGAATTTTTAGTGAAAAATCATCATGTTCTCCTGCATCTAATTTTCACCTTTTATTTATATTGCAATAAAATGTGAATATTTGTGCAGTAATCTGCCTAGCTTCTTATCTAAACCTCCACCCTATTCCTTGTTTCCTTAGAAATGTAAGGTTCTTTAAATTTACCTATCCAGACAAGAATTCTCCTTATAATTTTCCCAAGCATTTTTCCTATGCATTTTGAGCACCGGTAATCTTTTAAAAAATAACTAAGTTATAGATCTAGACATTACAGTTAGAGCTGGGTGTGATGACACACACCTTTAAACTGCACTCAGGAGACAGAGGAGGGTAGATCTCTGTGAGTTGGAGGCCAGCCTGGCCTACACAGCAAGTTCCAGGCCTGCCAGAGCCATGTAATGAGACTTGTCTCTAAAAGCAAACAAAATATTGCAGGTGAGTCTTGGGGGTGGGTGTTCTGCTTTGACCTTCTAAAAAAAACTGAGGCATAGAAATGACTCAGGAGACGCGAACCTGAACCTGCCAAATGCCCTCATAGTCTGTGCCAATTTGGAGGGTTGAGATTTCCCTGGTTGCCTTCTTTTTCTACCTGGGATTACTTTTAACCTTGTAGTCTTAATTCACACCTATGCTTCCATAGACCATCCTGGCATATAGTGACATTCCTTTTTTGTTCTGACTACACACCCTTCTCAGCTTACAGCAAGCTGACTTTGTCTTTTGTTTGTGTACTTGTATATGACCAATTCCTCGTGCCAGACCCACACCAGAGTAAGAGCCTAGCTCCCTGCTGCTTCTTGTGCTTGTAATCCTGTAACATTTGCTGACAAGTGGCTGCCCGGCCTCTCAGTAGCTCCTCCTAAGGCTCAGGGAGGCCAGGTGACTTTCTCAAAGCTGGCTCCCTAGGATACTGAAGTGCACTATTCGCACTCCCTGAGGGGCATCTCTACTCCTGGGATAAAGAAAGATCACTTCATTTGGCCACTTGAGGCCAGCGAGAGTACTGCTTGCTTGTTGCAGCAACTTTCCCTACCTGGCTGTGGAGGAAAGCCTGGGGGGGAGGGGGGGACATGGAGCGGCAGGAGGGGCGGGACTGGGTGCGGAGTCTTGTTGCCCCAGCCAATGGGCTCCGCGGCACGGGGAAGCCAGGCTGCCCGGCGGAGGCGCTCGTGCTCTGTAAGGAGCAGAGGCAGAGCGTCCCAGCTGCAGCAAGTCCGCGGATCTTGTAACTGGCGGCGCCGGTCGGAGGTACCCACGGGCCACCGTAGCTGGCAAGGTAAGATACAGTAAAGTCGACTTTGTAAGATTTCTGGCCATAGGGAGCACCCACCCAAGTCCGAACTGGTGGCGCATCCTGGTGCTGTGTCCCCATAAGCTCCCTCCCCGTGTTGGTGGGTTGTGGGTGAGCCGTGGGCCCAGAGCGCCACCCTGTCTTTCCAGGCTGCTGCTGCCGGGCCCTGGCTCTAGAACCCCCCTCACCCCCCCCCACCCCCAACCTCCGCCGGGGGCTCGCAAGGCTATGGCTTCTGAGGTTTCCACCCAACATCCAAACGTCTCCCGGGAAGAGCTTGCTCCGGGAAGCTGAGAACCGCTGCAGGTGCCAGTGCTCAGCACTGGATTCCAGCACCTGCCTTACGTATGCAGATTCCTCACGACCTGTTGCCTGGGGCTCAGATCTGTCCCAAGATCTCCTATTTCCAGCTATCTTGGAGCTCAGGAAGAAACCTAGGAGGGTTTCCCTTGGCCAGGCTAGGAACAGAGACTAATACTGATAGAGCTTCCCGGTTATTTATTCACGACTTACTTGGCTGAGTGCCAAACATTGTGCTTAGCTCTAGCTGCCTGAAAGGGAGTCTCGGGAGTTCATGGGGGGCGGTGGGCTCACAGGAACGAGAGGAGGGGTTACAATGTAATGTCGTGCAAGAGGCACGAGATAGGTGGATTGTGATGCTCCCAGGAAGGTTGGGAGGTTGCTCTTCAGTGCAGACTTGCGGAGACTGGAATTTGCCAGCCTGAAAACTGTATAGGCGGGGGCGGCAGGGACCGCACAAATTTCAGGTGGATTTTCTTATGTGCTGATGAAAGAAGCGAAGGAGTCAGAACATTAGCTAATCAAACAGCAGATTACTCAGTAGGACCAGGACTTGTGGGTGGGAAATAAACTTCCAGGTGGAACAAGTTTGTCCCCTGATGAAGGAGGCTGGGTGGGCAGTGGCGGAGGCTAGGATTCACAAGCTGGTTAAGTTGTAAAGCTGGTTTTCGGCCAACTTGGCTACAAAGACTCTAGCTCCTTAAGGCTGACTGACCAAGAGCCCTGCACCCCTGGCTTCTGGGCATGGATTCAGGCAGGGAGATGCTGCCATGTGATGCTTGCTTCTGAACTTGCTTGTCATTGTATATCATTTTAGGAGGCTAAGACCTATATCTTGTTATTAGGGATTGCCCTTGGGGGCTTACATAGAGTACCTGTGCTCTCTGATCTCTTGGCCCTATGTACAGACTTCTGCCTTACTTGAGCTTGCCTTTCTCCGTTCTATCTCCCAAGTCCCAGAAGTTCCTATGGAGGCAAAGCCATATAGATACTGGTATAGCAGTAACAACAAAGGCTCAGGGGGACGTGAGACCAGAAGGGCACTTCATCTATTTGCCTTGAAGACATTATCGGCCTTGTGAACTCTCTCTCTCTCTCTCTCTCTCTCTCTCTCTCTCTCTCTCTCAGAGTGTGTGTGTGTGTGTGTGTGTGTGTGTAACATGAAGGGCCTGCTTGTTGGGGTTTCTGTCCCGCCTGATACCCCACAGCCAGCAAGTCCCAAAGAAAATCACACATAGGTCTACATAGGTTATAAAATGATTGGCCCATTATCTCAAGAAAATATCCATAGTCCATTTTTTGGGAATGTGGGCATAGTATTCCAGGCTATTTCCAGCTGTTTGGGGGTGCTGATAATCTTATGGGGACCTAAAGAAAATTTAGTTATAATCAAGTCCTTACTGGAGTATTCTGTGAGTCTTGATCATCTCAGGCAGCAGTCTTAAACCTGTTCTGGATGAAGAACTCAGACATCTGGGCCATCTGTTCCTGCTGGAGATTTCTCAGGTGGTCTTCCTTGATCAAATTGGATTTTTCTTAACTCAGAATGAATCCACAGCCTCTCATTTTCTGTGGAAACAAATGCAAAATCTCTTCTCCAAAGTAACATACCTTTTGACTTTAATTTTGAAGTCAATTTTAAAATATCTATATTGGATTAATTCAGCAACATTTATAAGCAAATATCTTTTAGCAGCTGTTACTCCTTCCTCAACATTCAAACAATTCAAAGAGACCATAATAGCATACAGTATCAAGATTCTCTGTGTGTTTTCCATCTTTATGCAGCTTTATTTAAACCTCTATTTCTTTTATTTTTACTTTTTGAGACAGGTTCTCTGTATATCTTTGTCCTGGAATAACTCTGTTGACCAGGCTACCCTTGAACTCTATTCTTTTCTGCCCACAATTACTTCCCAAGCTCTCTCGGGTTTTGTGTGGATGCAGTTATCCACGTGGGCGCCATTCTGTAACATGAAGGGCCTGCTTGTTGGGGTTTCTGTTCTGTCTGATACCCCACAGCCGATAAGTCCCAAGAAAATCACACACAGTTCTACATAGGTTATAAACTGATTGGCCCATTAGCTCAGGCTTCTTATTATTTCTTGTAAATTGTACCAACCCATTATTCTTATCTATGTTAGCGACATGACTCAGTACCTTTCTCAGCAGGGCAGGTCACATCTTGCTTCTTTGGTGGTCTGAGCTAGACTGCAGAGGGAGCTTCCTGCTTCCCAGAAATCTCCTATTCTCATTGCCCCTCCTCTACTTCCTGTTTGGTTGACCCGCCTATACTTCCTAACTGGCCAATCAGCATTTACTTAAAACATGACTGACAGAATACAGACAATTCTCCTGTACTGTGTGTGTGTGTGTGTGTGTGTGTGTGTGTGTGTGTTTCTCTCCCTCCCTCTCTCTCCTCTCTCTGTCTTCCTTCCCTGACTCTGTGGGGGGGGGGAGAAACAGGGAGGGAGAGAGAACATCATTGTGCCTAGTTGTCACAGGCAAGGTTCCTTGGTTGCAGAGTCAAAGGTGCTATGCTACTTTTATTTGTTAATTTTCCGCAACCTAGAATTTCCTGGAAGGAAAGTCTCAGTGAGGGATTGATTGTCTGGATCCGATTGGCCTGTGAGCATGTCTGTTAGTTGATGGGAAGACTCAGTCCACGGTGGGCAGTGCTCTTCTCTGGGATCCAGTCCTGGACTGTGTAAGTGTGGAGGAAGTGAGCTGAACAGTAGGCCTGCATTTATTCTTTCTCTGACTTGCCTATGGCTTGATTAGCTCCCTCGAACTCCTGCCGCCTTGATGTACTCCCCAAATGGGCTGCAGCCTGGACTCATGAACTACAATAAACCCTTTCTTTCCTGAGTTGCTTTGTGATTTTGTCACAGAAACAGGGGTGGACATGGAAGAGATATTAAGATTTCTGTGTAGCAGGGTCCTTGGGTCCTTGAGAAGTTGTTGGGGTGATAAGACGAGGCTCTGGATAAAGGAGAAAAGGGGGCTCAAGCCATCCATCCATTGAGGCTTTTGACTAGCCATCCAATGCATGCAGAATGCTCCCAAGAAGGGGCGCAACTTCAGTTGTTCCTTTAGACGAACAGTTTCTAAATAGGGGCTTAAATGTGATCTATGAGCAATCAACACCCGTGGCTGCTGAAAATTAGGTGATAACAAGCTTCTTGGTCTTGGGACAGCCTGGGACTTTTCCTACAACATCGGTTCTATGTGTGACCGGGTGGATTTGGGGAAAGATGAGGATGGTTTGGACCAGCCTTACACATAGAAGTCACTTGGTGCTTGTTTCTCTGGCCTTCAATTCTTTACAGCCTCTGAAAGTAAATGTTGGGCTTGGGTTTTTATTACCGTGAGACACCTCTACTGGTGTCCCCAGTGACTGTGGACTCCTGCTGAGTGCTTGCTATGTGTGTGTATCCTCTCCTAGCTGCCCCGCAACACACAGAGTTGTGCACTTTTCTTCTCAGTTTACAGTCATCCCAGTGTTTCTCAAGCCTAATAGAGTCCCCATTAAGATAACAGTGACAGTATCCGTCACAGCATGTCACTTGTTAAGCTTCAGGAAATGCTTTCATTGATGACTCACTCATTGATTCAACCACTTATTAATCCAATCAGCCTGTTTGGAGAGCCTTCCACACGGTAGGGGCTGTCCCAGGCAGGGAGGTACAGCTGTGTCTGTTAAGGGAGAGAGAATGATGGGCATTGTATGCTTCAACCCTTCGAAAGAAAATATTGAAAGCTAAACCACTGCTTTGTAGAGTCAGGATATGAGAGGGGAAAAACAGACTCTCTGACTGAGTGATTCTTTGTGCCTTGCATTTCAATGTGGCCTCCTTGGAAGGACTATGCTATGTGAAGCAGATACCTTTCCTCTCCCTTAATAGCACTTTTTAATTTTGTTCTCTTCCCTGTGCTGGTCTTCCTCACTACACCACAGCTCCATGGAATAGAAATATATTTTATCCTAGGGCCCAACAGTCTTAAGCATAGGCATCTTCATTACATGTATGTGTGGATAGTTGGGGTATGGAGACTAAACCCAGGATTCATCCATGCTAGCCCCTCCCCCAACACTGAGCTATGCCCACAATCCCAGCACATATTTCCTGAAGAATAAAATGATGGATTTGGCTTCACAGAGTCATTAAGGAAGGTCTCCTCTCTCTCTCTCTCTCTCTCTCTCTCTCTCTCTCTCTCTCTCTCTCTCTCTCTGTGTGTGTGTGTGTATATGATGTTTATGGTGATACCTGGTACTCAGAAGTGCTAACATCAGGAAGCAGAAGGAATAGCTTGCCTATGGACCATGAAGTGGAGGGATGCAGCACACTGTAGCAGAAGCATAGCTCAAGGGTTACTTCAAGCCACTTGAGATGCATTTGAAGTTGCTAACAAGCCTTAGAGGCACACTGAGCTCAGAGTTTACAGTGAAGTCAGTGAGTGATTTTAACCTAAGGAATGACCCGATATAATGCTGTGTGTTTGTTTTTGTTTGGGGGGTTTGATTTTGATGTTGTTGTTGTTTGAGGTTTTTTGTTTGGTTGTTTTCTTGTTTTGCTTTGCCTCCAGGAGGCAAACTCTCTATATAACAGGGCCCAGTTACTATAGTTAAGTGAATAGATGATCTAGCTTCGGTTTTAAAAGTATCCCAGGAGCTACAACTAGAG